GTGGTCATGCCGGAGTTTTCAAAACTTACGAACGCATTCGCCATCGCTTCTACTGGCGCGGAATGTATAATTTCGTTCGAAAATTCGTTATGGGCTGTCCTGACTGTCAACGTCGCAAATCACCGCCTTTCCACTCGTCCGGTGCGCTTCAACCGCTTCCGTGCCCTGCCAAACCTTTCGATCGGATCGGAATTGATCTCTATGGCCCTCTACCGACAACATCAGATGAAAATCGGTGGATTATAGTCGCTGTGGACCATTTAACACGCTACGCTGAGACCGCCGCCCTTCCAAGTGCCACTGCGCGGGACGTAGCATCCTTCATCTTTCATCGCTTCATATTACGACATGGTGCACCTCGAGAACTACTAAGCGATCGAGGTCGAGCCTTCCTATCAGAAGTCGTCACGTCTCTGCTTTCTGAATGCCATGTTGTTCATCGCAAGACCACGGCATACCACCCGCAGACTAACGGGCTCACGGAAAGATTTAACCGCACCCTTGGCGATATGCTCGCCATGTATGTGACATCCGATCATACTAACTGGGATCGCATTCTTCCATACATTACGTTCGCATATAACACCGCGGCACAGTCTACCACTGGATTTTCACCTTTCTTTCTTCTTTATGGACGCGAACCATCCCACACCATCGATACTCTCCTTCCATACCGTCCTGACGCATCCGAATGCCCATCTGTGTCCGAAGCTGCCCGAAATGCGGAAGAGTGCCGTGAACTCGCACGCACCTTTACGTCTCGAGAACAACAGCGCCAGAAAGAAAACAACGTCGACTCTTCACAAAGCCCCAGCTATTCCCCGGGATCACTTGTATGGCTGGCTGTTCCTTACCAAACCCCCGGCATTTCCTCAAAACTCGTTCCAAAGTACGAGGGCCCATACCACGTTTTGGAGCATGAATGTTCGGCAGCAAGGGAAAACGACCAGGCGCCGATTTTATCCGTGATAAGTGCCTTTTTAAGCTTTGAATCAATGGCGCCTTCACGTGTGATATCCTCTAGCGTTGTTACAGTGATCTTTCGATACCACGGAGCACAAAAAAGATCATTGTAACAACCCTAGAGGATCTCACACGTGAAGGCGCCATTGATTCAAAGCTTAAAAAGGCACTTATTACGGTACAATCGGCGCCTGGTAGTTTTTACATGCGGCCGAAGATTCTTAAAGAGAATAACTCTGGCAGACCCATTATATCAGGCACGGGAACGTTAACGGAACCCATTTCCAGTTATATTGATTCTTTATTCAAAGACCTACCACCCACACATGAGTCCTTCTTGCGTGACACAAACCATTTCATTCGGGAAATAGCAGACGTGAAAATTCCAGACGGTGCATTTCTCGTAACATTGGATGTTAGCTCACTCTACACAAATATCCCACAGGACGATGGTGTAAGGGCGCTTGTTGAATCGTATGGCACACACAACCCTGTCGCTTATTCAAGCAAAAAAGTAGTTAAAATCTTCACAAGACTTGTACTTGAATTGAACAGCTTTGATGTTAACAACCAGTACTACCTTCAAATTAGCGGCACGGCAATGGGTACAATAAAGGCCCGAAACTACGCTAACATATTCATGCACCACATAGAGTCCAATTTTCTTTCATCTTGTGATATCAAAGCATTATTCTATAAACGGTACCTAGATGATATATTCATAATTTGAACACATTCGGAAAACGAACTCTTCAAATTCATACAGGCTTTCAACCAGGAACATCCCAGCATTTATTTGACACACTCCTACTCTAACAATGAAATAAACTTTCTTGATGTACTCATTCGAGTGGACGATGGTGCGTCAGTAACTAACGTATACAGAAAACCTACGGACAGGCAACTATACCTGCACTTCAAAAGCTGCCACCCGCGACATTGCAAGACCAGCATTCCCTATTCCCAGCACACAGATTCCGACGAATCTGCTCCCGCACCGAGGACTTCCACAAAAACAGCACACATATGCGCGAAGTACTCCTTAATCAAGAATACCCGCCAGCTATCATCGATGACGCCATCAAAAAAGCTGAAAATCTGGACCACCAGATTCTTCTTAACCACCAGAAAAACGCCAACCAACACCGCAACAAAAACTTGCTATTAACTTTCACGAGCAACCCACCAAAGATAAACAAGGTCCTATGAAAACACTTTGACATAGTGGGACAGAGCGTGCGACTATCCAAAATTTTCACTTCTCCTCCTTGTGTTGTATACAGACGGCCGAAAAATATAAAGGATCATTTAATCAATTCAAAGATAGGTGTCAAATCTCAAATTGGGTGTCACCCTTGCGGAAAAAGCAGATGCAAGGTATGGAAACACATGCAGACAACGACAGTGGCGAAAAGCACCCACTCGGATTTTAAGCACAGCATAAGAGGTGCACTAGGCTGTGACTCAGACAGCGTCATATACCTCCTGGAATGTGGGGTATAAACAAGCAATACGTGGGCCAGACAGACACTCCGTTTGTAATTAGATTCAACAACCATCGGGCACATGTACGATCTCTGCCAGGCCTTCAACTTTCAAAGCACTGCACATTGAATGAACACAGCTTTGATGACGTCAGGGTTACACTACTAGAAAACAACTTTCGAACAATCAGAGAATGGGAACAACGGGAAAATTATTCAATCTACAAAATTAACACGATAAAATACGGAATAAATGAACACCCCGGCCCTCTGTCAGCGTTACGACCACTAAAAGACGCAAACGCCTCTCTCTAATCAGTCCGGTTTCATTACGACAATAATATTACCCGCTAACAAAGCCTTTAGCCTATGCATCTGACAACATAGAAATGATTTGCCTCATCAAGCACAGCCGGAACGCACAGATAAGTGGTCCCGGATGTCGTACGGTTCCCCCCCCCCCTTTTTTTTCCTTTTCTTTTTTTTCTTCTTTAGGTTTTAACGCACATTCTGTTTCTTCACTGACAAGGAGCTGACAGCTAGGTGGTTTCGTAAACTTTTTCATACATGCGCGCATGTCTTCCCAGTGAACCGCAGCTGTGTGGTGACTTTCCCGGATGTCGTACAGTCTCCCCCCTCCCCCCCCCCCGCCTGTTCTTTTTTTCTTCTTTAATTTTTAACGCACATTCTGTTCCTTCACTGACAAGGAGCCATTGCATATAATGAATATCGATGGCGGCGCATCAATCACCGGCTTTTTCATTCCTCCCGACGCCACCAGCACGCACTCGAAGCGCTTAAGCTCTCCCCATTAACTTGTCTTAAACTTCAAAGAGGAACGAGCCGCCAGCGGACTACACTGAAAGGTGAAATACAAGAACGGCGGTACACTGCCCACTTGGAGAAAAGTGGGTGCGGGGCAGGTATTGTTGACAATGATGACATTGCTCATCTACCTCTGCCCTACTCTGTTGAGATGCTGCCCCTTTTAAATTACGCCGTGTCGGTCTTGCTTCTTCTCCTAGATTTTCTATATTCTATTTATTGTTTCTCCTCCCGCTTCGCTGTTTCTTCTTTTTTTTTCTTTCTCTCTTCTTTTTTTCTTTTTTTACTTTTCTTTTGACCCTTTCTCTTCTGTCTCGACAGGCTATAAGACACAGAACGCGTGTAAATATTATTATGCCTTGAAAAAGACGGGGTTCCCGTCGAAACGTCGGTACAATAAACAGCTGTTATGTGAAAGCACATCTACTTTCATATATATATATATATATATTTGTATATGTATATTACAGAAGACAAAACCGAATAATATTGGGAACCCAGTCATGAAATCAAAATATAAAATCAAAAATAAGCAAAAGAAACGCAAGTTTCGCCAGCTGACAGTGCTCATATGAAGTATGACAGGCGCACATACCGTCAATACGAAAGCCTTATGGGTTTCGTGAAATGCGAATTATGGCTTTCTGCATTACGTGTCGAAGGCTTCTGGCGTTGTCTCGATTTGATCACGCCAAAAATCATCATCATGGGACGACGTCACTGATGATCTTTATCACATCACATGTTGCGGAATTTTGGTGTCATAATAACGTCAGAGTGCCGCCACGTCACTTAACCTATGCCACGTGTCATAACGGCTCGTTTTAGTTATTGGAGGTTAACGCTGTTTTCGAGAATTTTTTCCGACAGTACTTATTCTTTTTTTTCTAGCGCCGCATTGCAGTTGTGTCCTTATTTTGTTACGCATACCCCCCATCCCCAACCTTAATAAAAGAAAAATCCAATTTGCGACCATCTCTAATGTAACCTCGATCTATTCATCTATTAACTTGTTTTTACGCATTCATATCAAACAAATCCTACAAATCACGATACGCGTGGTCGAGAAGCTGTTTCAGAGCAGGTGGAAAGCAGTTTCTGTATATCTATTCAGGCTAGATAACAGTTTCTGACGTGCAAATTTTCGGGGTCTCCGTACGATATTCAGCATATTGAACGCAATGCTTTTTAATGCAACGCTAAGTAGGCCGCTAAAAAAACTAGATTCATCCAACAGGAATTATTCTTCCAATACAAACAACAATCAATGATGCCTTCGTAGGAGCAATAATAAAACTGCCATAACTCACCAATACAATGTTCTTTGACGAAACGTTTGTTCTTTCGGTCTAACATAAATGTTGACACACACACACGCGCACGCACATACACACACAAATACACGCACGCACGCGCGCACACGCACACACACACACACACACACAAATAGTGTTGCCAATAATTGCAGTAAACTTTTCGAGAGATTCATGTGAAAAACTCTGCGTATCACTCCAGCCTATATTTGGCAGAAAATGATGGAAATATGCAAAAAAACGTGAACAGCCAATTGCATTCAGATTCTTTCAGCTTGCGAAATCGCCGGAGTTGCCTGGAAATCACCGAAGCTCCGCTGTCCTCTTTACTGTCATTTTTTTGCTCTCTGCATTTTCATGTTTTGTCGGTTGGGAACTACATATCTGACGTTAACGGCACCGTTTGTCATCGCAGATCAGTCCTTACCTATGAAGAAAAGGAAAATGACGTGCTTCTGGCTTGGTATCCTCTCACTTATGCCTCGGGCTTTCTCTTCACTATCGTGGCGGCGTGTATCGGATCCACCTGCGTCATCGTGAACCCCGGCATTTCTTTCGACGAGCTTGTCTACTACGTTAACAAGTATAAGGTCAGTTGGTTTCTTCTATTAGGCATTGGCATTGCAATGCTATTCAATCATTCACTAACAGAAATTTGGTGTACATTCATTTCACATGAAGTTTGTGCGTGGTTGACTTGACTATTGACTTATAAATGTCAAAAGTTTGTTTTTGTGCAGCAAACAAGCAAAGAAATTCGAAATTGCACCCCTTGGCCCGCCATGTGAAGGGATTCAAAGATTAAATGAAATCTTTGGGCTTTTTTTTTTTTCAAGCTCTTGATTTCAACGTATTTCTGAGCTTGTGTCATAGTTTCTGTTACGAATATTGCAAACATCTGCAATCCGCTGGCACTTTCTCTTACAGCACTTACAGTACTTGCAGCATATGAACACTTAGTCAATCCTTGGCTCATAATGAACTTTTTGGGGTCATAAGCAAGGTGCTTGTTCGCAAAAGTAAAACAGCAAATTGCTTAAGAAGATCCCTACAGTATTTTTTCAGTAATTTTTGGACACCTGCATTGAAAGAACTGATTCTATGCCGCCAAAATATGTTGCCGCAGAAATAGACAGGTGCAAAATAAAAAAAAAATGCTTAAACTCTTCCAAGTATGAGCAGAAGTGCAAAGATTACGCTTCAGGTGCTTTCCTCTCCTTTCATAGCTGCGAGCACGCTGAAAGTTACGCAGGGGGGGAGGGAGGGTGGTATGACGAAGGACATGAAGTTGCCCATCGTCAGCGCCAGGCATGCTCGTTTTTTTTTTTGTGAAGCAGCTCTTTGACAAGACTGTATAACGCTGTCCCTCCGTCCGCACCATTCCCCTCGCCGCAGGTGTTAGAGCAGTGCCAAGTAGCTCACGCCCTCCTAACAGTGCGCGGTGACGTATCTATCCCTCACCTGCCACGCGCTCGCCGCGTGTCAGCACTCGCTCGCTTCACCTTCTCCACCGCTCGCAACACTCGAGCCCATACGTCACGTAGGCATTATCTCACCTGCGCCACCTCTTTGCATCCCTCGGCGAGAAGAAGCCGCAAGCTGATGGTTGGGCGCGCACCTTGAGAATTTCACAGTGCTGACAATAGCAAGTAATAGCTAAGCTGCTCAGCAGGCCAGCGGGTCCAGCGGACGAGGGGAGAGGGCAGCGGAGCGCAAGACGAAAAAAAAGGAGTCGAGTTTCTCGTTTCAGTGGATCGCATTGCTACGCTATCTATTGAACAACGTTGAAGTTACTCTCGATCGAGTAGAGTCTTTGCTGCGTCACCTGCCGAATAAAATTGAAGTTATAGCGAAAAGAATATTACGAAAGGCATTTTTTATACATAGCTGGTGTTATGTGGAAATAAATTTTCGTTTTTTTGCATGACTCGATGTTTGCAGTGGTTTGAAGGCATGACGAACTGTTCTACGTTCGAATAAAAAAGTCGGCGCTGAAAGACTGCAGGTGAAGCCAAGCCAAGCAATTGAGTGGGTGTGTTTTTAGCGGCACCTTTGTTGCTGTGTCTTGCGATTCGTTGCTGTTGGCGCTATGCGGCGAAGCGTATTGCAAGACTCTTTGCTTCTCTCTCTACTGAAATGGTCGGAGATAGAAGATCTAGTAGCACTACAGGTGCTAGGCGAGACTCTCCGTGAATCACTTTCCTCCCGTGGCCTGCTCAACATTGACGCTATGGACAAAGGCATGTTCCGAACATGTTTTCGTTTTGAGAAAGAGGACATAGTGAAGGTACAAGTAGCTTTGCGCATTCCAGAAACAGTTATTACTGCTCAGAGAGTGCCTATCCTAGGAGATGAAGCCCTCTGCATTACTCTTCGATGGCTGGCCTATGCGAACCGACTTAAAGACCTCGAGAACTTCTTCGGGTGACACAGCTCGACAATATCGTCCCTGACGATGGAGGTCTTGAGGCACATCGATGAGAAGTTTTTTCACTTGCTGGATGATGTGAATATTCACAGCTGGCTGAACATTGCCACGCTGGAGAATTTCTCGAAGGTAAGGAGCAGTGACAGCAGAATGGAAGCTGCGTTTATGCAAATTGGAATTGTGGTATTCGTGTTGACTTTTCTGTGTTAGTTTTTTCAGGCCATTTGCGCTAAAGGAGGCCCCTTTACCAACTGCTGGGGCTTCATTGATGGCACTGCACGTGCTATATGCCGACCAACTAGGCAGCAGCAGCTGTATTTTAGCAGGCACAAAAGATTTCATGCCCTTAAGTATCAATCGAGAATCTGCCTGAATGGCATCATTTGTCAGTTGGATGGATGTTATCCAGGCAGCAAGCACAATGCTGGTGAGTAAGGGGTAGTTCATATGCCTGGAAGTCACATTTTCCTTCATGTTGCCGTGGAACTGTCATATACGCCAAGTATATCCAACAAAATAGGTCAAATTCTTAGGGCTACAGTTTGTTTCAAATATATTCTTTCCACACAAACTATGGTGCTAACTTACAGCTCATTCAAACTCATATTGGATCATTGTCACTTAGCTTGGAGTACACCAGGTTAAGTGGCATTCACCTAATCCAAGAAAGGTACCTCAGGCATGCATATAAATTCTCACAGCGCAATTCGACTGCAGCTTTATTTAGTCACTAGAAAGTGCCCAAAGCACGAAACCCTCATGAATTTTGCCTTAGTGTGGTATTCTTGTCGAAAATAAGAAATACTATAGCCAGCCTCAAGAAATTAGCTGAACTAAGTAAGACCGGAGTAGGCTATTCAAGAAGACGTGGCAAGGAAAAGGTAGTGTTGAGGCGTGAACTTTATATCTGAAATGAACATCCTTTATTATACTCTTGCGTCTCTCATTAAGTGCTATGCTGTCATTGATGAGTTTAGATTGTTTTCCCACTGGTACGAATGACTTGCCACTGTAATGAAATAGCATGCCTTAGGTTCACTTATGTGTGAACAACGCTGTTTTCTGTATTCTTTGGTGTTGCCTTAATGGGCTTCTCTGTTTTAAATTTTTTATATACCTTTACTGCTTCCTCCCTGTTGAACAACAATTTTGTAAGAAGATAAAAAGAATTTAGTAAAATAAGCAGACGCATTGAGAGCTTCCTAGGGCATCTCGCCTGCTCTGCTGCTACTTTTATATTCTGTACCACACCTGCACCCAATGTTTGATCAGCAGGCGTAGTAGTGCTAACGCATTATCTTATCTCAATTGTTTCGGGTACCTTTGGCAACAGCCAGGTGTACACTAAACTGGATAAGCTAGTGCAGGGACACCACTACTGTCTTTACGGGGACCCTGCTTACCCATTGCGGCTGCTACTATTGAAACCTTACGGTGGTGCACCTTTGACACCGGAGCAATGTGCGTTTACCAAGGCATTGAGCAGCGTGAGGCAGGCCGTAGAATGGGGCTTCAGAAAAATTGCTGGATTTTTGCCTTTGTAGAATTCCGAAAAAACTAAAATATCTTCCGCCAGAATGTTGCAAGGGTGTACAAAGCGATCGTATTGCTGGCAAACTGCCATACTTGCCTATATGATTCACACGTCTCGCAATACTTTGATCTGCAACCACCATCCTTGAAACTGTACTTAAATGCCCGTTAACTTTAGGGACAGCTTTCAATGTGGCCCTGGGGAATCCCTTCGCTTAATAAAAAAATAAAGTGTGCAACAAACCACTTTTTTGTTATTCAACTGCTTCCAGACATTCTTTTTGTTAGGTCTGTCACTTCTTGGCTGAGTTTATCGAACATCTGTTCCACGTGCTTCACAAAGTCCAGGCGTTCCTGCTGGCGTTTTGTAACCTCAAGTTCGTGCTTTTATCGGCAAGTGCCAGCTTGCGCTCCTCCAGAGCTGGTCGTCTTTCTTCAATGTCCAATTTTCTGTTTTCGACTGCAAGTTCTCTTTGCCGGATCTCGAGTTCATGCGTTTGACGCATAGTCAACAATTGTAAGCCCATGCTTTGTAGGCCTCTGATTCCTGCAAATTTTGGAAAATGAGGTCACTCAGTAAGTCGCTTCACATAAGCATATCACATGTCATAGAAAGCTAATTTGATGGACTCGTAACACAAACATATCAGCCTTCAGCTATATGCTATCGCACATCATTTAGTGATAATTTATTTTGTGCTTCAGCAGGGTGATCCCCAAGAATTGATAACACCGCAGTTGTTGCTAGGATCCTGACATTTCGTGTAACAACAAAATAAAAACTATTCAGTTACTGCTATATACAAGTGTTTATTGTAAAGAGAAGGTCAAAGTTTCCAGTTGTAGTATGCTAACCTCATCCAAAACTCCCACTTATGCGTGGTAAAGAAAGCAATCACTCTTTTTACCTTGCTTGTAGTACATACAGATTCTAAATCATTGCCATGACTCGCATCACAGTGTTGTCCTAAGTTACTCTTAAGAGTTGTCACACTTGTCTAAAAATAACACTAACGACAACCATTCATGTGTCTATGCCTGCATGCCATGTTCATTTTCAACGTAATGTTCACATGCTACCAGTGTTCCAGCAATGAATGTAAAGTATTGGGCTAGCTGGTCTTGCATATAGTGAAACCAGGGAGCCCAATGTTCTAGACTCTACAGAGACATCATGTTGCCCATTTGTACTGCGCCTTGTGGCAATATCGCCCCATGCTACGAGGTGGATAAAGAGTCCTTCAAGATTTACCTCTACTCGCCGTTACAGGAACCCGTTGCCTAGCTGCAGGCGGTGGTTGTGGCTGCCGCTGCAGCTGCTGCTGCTCTTGTTGCTGCTGCTGCTGCTACTGTTGTTGTTGCTGTTGCTACTGCTGCTGTTGTTGCTGCTGCTGCTGCTGCTGCAGCTGTTGTTGTTGCTGCTGGTGGTGGTGTTGCTGTTCCTCCTCCTCCTCGTTGCACGGCTTTTCAGTGAGTTCGACAGCAGCAGGACTGCGCGGGGTGGTCATTGAGAGCAGGAGTTGTGCAGCATGTCCTGATTGTAATGCATAATAGAAAACAGGGAGATGTCAGATAACAGCACACTAGCACATTCCATTACAACTCTGGCACACAGGGAACCCCCAGTAG